CTGTCTCCAGGTAAAAAGGGTGCAGTGTGCGCTTGTGCCGTCGAGCAGTCGTCCCTCGCTCTGCGTTGTGATAACATTCCTGGTTTTAAGTAAATCTACTTACTGTACATAATGATTGTTTGTTGTTAGACTTTGTTACGTTTTTGTTTTGTTGTTGAACTGTTACTTTTTGTTTATTACAATGAACGAGTACTCAAGCCAGCATATCGCTGACATCCATTTCGTGTATGGATTGTGTAACGGGAGTGCAAATAAAGCTGTTGTAGAGTATGCACGCAGATTTCCTAACAGACGTACGCTGAATGCTCGCACTTTCGTGAGAATTCATTTGAGACTTGCGGAAAATGGAATAAGAAGGCTCGGTAACGAACGTACTCGTGTTTTGTCGCTCCAAGATGAACATCAAATATTGCAAATGATTACTCAAGACCCTAGCCTGAGCATTAGACGCATAGCTAATCGTCTCAGTCTATCAAAATGGTCGGTGTGGAAAATTTTAAAAAGAGAAGGATTACATCCTTACCATTTTCGAAGGGTGCAAGAAATACTGGAACCGGATTATGTAAGAAGAGCAATATTTTGTTCGTGGATATTTAGAGAAACGCGATATGATCCAAACTTTTTAAAAAGAATTATGTGGACAGACGAAGCTACTTTCACGCGATCAGGGTATACGAACTACCGTAACGAACACCTGTGGCTTCAAGAAAATCCACATGCGATCCGACCAAGTTCTTTTCAACATAAATTTTCTGTCAACGTTTGGGCCGGAATGATTGACGACATTCTAATTGGACCAATCATTTTACCGGAGACAATGAATAGCCCAAGATTCCTAAATTTCCTGGAAACGAATTTTTTGGATGCTTTATTGGAGTTACCATTGGCCTACAGGTCCAGAATGATTCTGCAATTGGATGGTGCTCCGGCACACTTCGCGCTTCTTGTGCGGAATCATTTAAATGCACACTATTCGTCGTGGATCGGACGCGGAGGAACAATTGCTTGGCCACCGCGGTCGCCGGATTTAACACCTCTCGATTTTTTTTTTGTGGGGCACACTCAAACGAAGAGTGTATGTAAATGTGCCAAATACGCGAGAGGAGTTAGCAGAAAAAATAATTCAAGCAGCAAACGAATTGCGAGAAGACAAGGCAATGATCCAGCGCTCTACGCAACACGTTGCACTAAGAGCAACAGCATGTCTGCAGAGACAAGGAGGTCACTTTGAGCAGTTTTTGTAATTATTTTGCCAAATTAAATGCAATTGATATAAATTATTTTGTTTTATTTCATTTGCTAGTGTATCCGCGCTTTTCAAGTAAGTATGTTTACACTGTCATAGCTCCTAAACTATCTAACTCAGAGTTAAGATTTAAATGTGCATTTATAGCAAATATCCTGTATTATAATAAAAACAAGTAAAAAAAATTGGTTAACACGATGGTTTTTTTTTAAAGCTAAGAATCTGAAAAACAACATAAATTTGTTGTCTAATTTATTTTTTCAAAAATGTTTTTTACTAATACTGAAAAATTAAAAAATAATATTTTGAATCTAGATTTATTGTCTACACTATTAACTAACATTTGAGACCAATTTTGTTTTTGAAAGTCTTCTACTTGGGTAGATATTGTTAAATTAATACAAGCATCTATGCTTCGCCAACAATTTTTTTTGAAGTGTTGCCATTTTTTTATTGATGGCGAAAAAAAATCATTGATCCCTGATTTTTTGATAAAATTAATTGTATTTTAACCCCTTAAAGTATCGGACATCGGAAACCGGACAACCTGTATAGTTACATATCTGGCGTCCGTATATACTCGTAGTTATCCAGAGTCCGTATATAGTTATTGTTACGAGTATATCCCGTATTTAGTATCAGGCGTCCGTATTTACTAGATTTATTTAAATCATTCCTTAAAGGATTTTTATTGAGTTTATTGATATTATGTCATATTACGGATTAAGTAAAGGTAGACAAGATACCGTCATTTACATAGTAGACTCCTGATAATAACAGTTGAAGAAGAGAGACCTAGAAAACGCTTTCATAAGCGTCTCATGATGACTTGTTAGCCTATGTTTTCATATTGATGGAGGTGGTTACTGACAGAAATTCGTGGATAGAAACGGGAGAGCATGCTTGAGCAGGGCGGATTAGAAAAAAAGAATAACCACATATTAGTGACGCAGAAACTAGATACTATCAGATAATTTAAATTATCATGAGTAAATCTTCATTCCTATAGTTATTAGGTGCCAGTGTGTGCTTATCAGACATTCGTTATACCATCGCATTATATCCCCGTATATACTCGTAGCTATGGGACGTCCGTATATTGTTATCAGATGCCAGTGTATATATATTGGGCGACCGAATCTTATAGCTGTCTTCTGCTTGCCTAATTCACCTAAATCCTTCCTTTACGTTAATAGTTGTTTACAGAAATGATCATGGAAATTTAGCTGATGGGGCAATAACATCTAATGCTCTTACAGAAGTGATCACGGAAATGGAACCAATATTCGATGGTTCGTCTCTGTATTTCTGTCCGTTAACATCGTTTACTGAAGAGTGCATGGAATCATCCAGACCAGTGACAACTATATAAGCGATGATAGTGACTACAATAATAAACAACTTCTACCCTATTCTGCGCACTCAGATTCAAAGAGTGACGAAGAACCAAGGGGAGTTAACGGAAAAAAGGTGTCAGGTTAACAAAGCAACATGAAATGAATACAAAAACAAGTTTAATAGGAAAAAGGGGAGGCAGTATACTGGGCGTAAAAAAGTTGATGGAAAAGGGGAAAAAACTAAAGAATATAGGAGTGCTTAAACCTCGATGCAAATGTAAGACAAATGGCAAAACTGCTTTAAAGTGCTGTGAAATTACAGAAAATGACAGAAAAGTGATATATGAAAACCTTGAGGGATGACTTGGGGGGAAAAGAAGATTTTAGTGAATTGTCTTGTACAAGTGATGTCTACTAACGGCCGGTCTCAATAACTTATCTATCTCTTACTGGAAGTTAAAATGGCTACCATTGGTATCTATAGTTACATTTTTCCGTTTCAATAATCAAAGATAGATAGAAATGTTTAACCATCACATTGATCTATCCTTCGGAGGACTTACCGACTACCTGAGTTAAGTGGGTTCATAGAAAAAAACATCTGACTGTTTCAATAACGTATTGGCAGTTAACTGGCGATAGTTCAAATTACCAGATGTTAGAGTTTTGTCTATCGCCCAATTTTGAGAGTTAGCAAATATTTGTCGTGATTTTAAATAAATAAAACCTATTTAATATCTAAAAAATGGATTTGTTCAGTGATGAAAGTGATAATGAAATGTATGAGATAGGTGTTTTTGATTCAGAAGGTATTGTAGATACTGAAAATCGCCGACTTTATAATCGAATAAATTACAGAAGTGAATTTTCTGACTCTGAATTTACATATAGATTTAGATTAAATAAAACGTCCGTGGATGAGTTATTATTGAAAATAACACCATCCTTAAAAGTAATTTCTTCAAGGTGAGTAAAGAAACTTGTGAACAAAATTTGGTTACATTATATGTATCGTCGAAATATGCCACCCAACATAATATGAATGACAGTTATTGTGATTTTTTTTACTTATATTTAACATTTTAGGAATAATGGAATATCGCCGTTACATCAGTTGTTGCTGACCTTGAGATTTTATGCACTGGGAACAATGCTTTTATCAGTAGCGGACTTTATTGGTGTATCGAAAGCTTCAGCCAGCCGAATTGTGCATCATGTATCTCGGGCAATAGCTGGCTTATACCCTCAATATGTGAAGACATTAAGCAATACCCAGAATGCCTTTCATGAAATCGCAGGATTTCCAAGAATTCTTGGCGCAATTGACTGCACGCATGTTCCCATACAGTCACCTGGTTAGTAGTACCAAATAAATAAATATTTATATAAAGTAGATCTAGGTAGAATCTTTTTCGTAGGCCATCTAGTGACCTGAAACTCAAACGTAGAACTTAATCCAAGTTTGGCCAGAATTGGATCAACTTCTACAAACATGCATACAATTCTTTATTATAATATTATTAAGTATAGATTCATTTATTTATATAGATTATACCTAATAACAGTCATAATTTTTGCAGATTCAAATATAGGAGAAGAATACAGAAATAGAAAAGGCATATTTTCAATGAATGTCCAAGGAGTCTGTAACGCAGACTTGTTATTTATGAATGTTGTTGCCCGTTGGCCTGGGTCTGCTCATGATGCTACTATATTTAACAACTCTAGGCTAAAAAGTAAGTAGGTACTTAGTTATCTAGAAGATTATAATAATAGGTCATCACATAAACATGATTAATATTTCTTTGTTATTTATTTTCAGTGCAATGTGAAGAGGGATTGTTTGGCAATAGATGGCTTATTGGAGACAGTGCATATCCCTGTACTTCATATCTTTTGACACCACTGCTCAACCCCACATCTGTTGTAGAGAATCATTACAATGAAGCACATATAAAGACTAGAAATACTATTGAAAGGTAAATATTATTTTATTAATATTTTTTTTTAAATTTCATGAATATAATATAAAATACTTTGTAACTTTTCAGATGTTTTGGTGTGTGGAAAAGGCGCTTTCCAATACTCTCTTTAAAAATCCGTGTAGCTATGCAGACAACACAGGCCATTATTATTGCCACTTCTGTATTACACAACATCTGCAGATTAAATAATATTAGAGATGTAGATCCAGAAGTTGCAATGCCGCAAGAATCAGGTGACATTACCTATGCTGAAGGGATAGGTCAACAAAACCACAGTGTCAGACAACAGCTAATTAATAATTATTTTAGTGTTTAAATTATGTTTAATTATATAAGAATTTTAATGTGTAAATAATGTTAAATTATACTAGAATAAATGTGCTTTATTTCAATATATATTTTATTTAATAAATGTCAAATAAAAATCAATGTATAAAATAGATTTTATTTTAGAATGAACTTAACAAAAACATTACATAATTTATAAAAAATACACCTTATTATCACTATTTACAAAATCTTAACATTAGTACTATAGTAATCACAAGTCACTTGTTTAATTTTTCTATTTCTAGCTGCAGTTTAACTTTTTCAAGTTTAACCACTTCAGTTTTGGCTTCAAAATAAGCAGCCATGGCTAATTCCTTGCTTATCTGAGCCCGTAATAGTTCTTCAGAGGGTTTTTGGCGTTTCTTTACTGTGAAAATAAAAAACATAGTTAAATTCTCATATTTTACACTCTCCTAGCTTGATAGAATTGATGACTGATGACCACAGAGATCGGGCATAGGAGATAACATAAAAAAACATTAGTAACAACTACTATCCAAACTACATTAGAGATTACCCAGAACCAACTACTATAGCCTATTTCACAATTTATCTTATTTGTCAGACAATTGAGTGGTAAGCCTTTAGATTTTCCTCATTAACCAGAAAAAAATACACAAAGTTGTAGCAAAACCTGCAACAAGCAATCACACTACTAGACCATAGAGAGGCGGTCTGTTTTGTCTACGGACTTTAAAAAGGAGCCAGTACTCAATTCGACTGTATGTTTTTTTTATGTGTGTTACTTCATAACTTTTTACTGGGTGAACCGATTTCTATGATTCTTTTTTTATTTAAAAGCTGGTGCTTCATATGTGGTCTCATATAAATTTGATCAAGGTCTGATCAATAGTTTTTGAGTTATTCTTAATAATTTATATTGAAGTTGGTTGTACAAAATTATAAATTATCTAGTAACAACTGAGGTTAAATATTACAGCTACAACTTACAGGGTTTGTAAGGATTATTAAAAGTAAATCTTTTTGGTGTGAAAATTTTCTCACTATTACCACCACACTCAGCACTACCACCATCTCCCATCACCAAATCACTAGTTACAGCTTCTGAATGCTCCGGTAAAGGTTGTAAGTCCATGAGTTCCACCACTGCATCTGGTGGAATCATTTCACTTTCCCCATCACCACCAAATTCCACAGTGAACCCCGTGCATGTTGCACCTAACATAGATGTTACACGATCTAGTGCTTCATCGGGAGGGATGTACATCTTTCCACCTCCAGTCTGCAAATAAAAATGTTTCAATAGAAATATTACATTAAAAAAAAATTCTAAGATGATTAGGTATATCTAACAAAATGTCACAAAATATTTAATGTATGTACTTATTACAAACCTTTAAATTATTTTGTCTTATAAATGCATTGCGTTTTCTTGACGACTTCTTTAAGTTTTCCCACTTTAAGCGTAGTTGCTCAGGACGCCGCAATTCTCCCGCCATCGCACTAAACTCCTGCGCTATAGATTTCCAAGCCTCTTCCTTTAATTTATTATTTGTGGCATTCGTAGCTTTAGTAGTAATTACTTTTTGCTTGGAAATCAAGTCAAGCAGAAAGAGTATTTCGTCCTTACCAAGGGCCCTTGTCTTCATCTGAAACAAAATTTTACAGGTGTCTTACATTTTTGGCGCGACTTTGAGACAAAGACTCAAGCTTTTGTAACATTACTGTAAATTTATATATCACGGCAAAGAGTTCACAATACTTACAGTATTTTGTTAAGCCATGTTAATGTTTATCGCTAATAAATTAATGCTACACATAAACAATTATATTATGTGTAGTATATTTCTGCTGAGCTTCTTGAGGTTTGGTTGTGGTGGTGTACACAAACTGTCAACGTCAATTGTCAAGTCAAGCAACGCCAAGCGCTGTGTTTTGTTGCTTCGTATCGTTTCCTCGTATTTTAATATAAAAGTTTATCATTATTTGAAGAAAGCCTTAATTTAAAAATGTGTATAAAGGATAATTGCCTATATTATATTAAGAAATATTAACAAAAATAATTAAAAACATTATATATTTATCATAATATTTTAAATACATCATTATATTTTCTTGTAGAACGCGACGCAATTCACTTCGAAGCAAAAACAAAACGCTTAGGAGGGACGCATTAACCAAAGTTATCATGAACTATCTGCCTTTTATCTCTAGTAAGCTTTCGAACATTACGATATTGAGACGACAGTAACAGATAGTTTAAACTTAACTGTTTACCTTGGTTAGCTATCTACTTATAACTGATTGTAGGGAATTGAGACCGGCCGTAAACGGCCAAGAGATAGAATAGACGCATCTATTAGAAAGAGAAAAAACTCAATGATTTATAACTTGCATTTGAATAAAAAATGTCGTGTTAGAGTCTGTAAAACGGTGTTTTAAAACACTTTGTCTATCACCAAAATGACTATCTGGAACTGGAAAAAAGGTAAAGAATTATACCTCTCACAATGAAATCCATATTGTTTGTATATGTAGAACAAAATGTTCTAGGTGGGTTGAATGGTTTTATGACAGACATATCAACTTTATTTATTCAAAATTCAACTATGTATAATTGTTTTTATGACAAGCGTTTAAATTTTCTTTATTTAAAATTCAAATGCAGAGGAATGACATATAAGCGTGTATTTAAGTTTTCGTCAACAGATAACGCTATGAGAAGATTGAATCGCGATGTAAAAAGGCAATGTAAAATAGTATATTAGTTTTAAATGAAATATATTTTATTGGACCAGGCAGAAATTTGTTTTATTGTGTTAGATAGAACAGTGCTTTAGAAAGCTACTCTCGTGGTCTATATTGATTGCGACCTTACACGAGTTAGTGTACAAGCATTTCTTGCAAAGAGTTATTAAATCTTATAGAATTGGCTAAACTCCTAATGAAAAATCAATACTAGAGTAATATAATTCTTGTTGTTCTTTTACATAAAGTTTTAAGTAAGAAAATCAAATAACAATAAAAACATTTAAATTTTAAGTTTGCTGTTATTTTAACAACATTTGGGAAATTTCACTAATGTTTTATTTATATATTTGCTACCTATCATCTTCCCATATTGGACACTTTTTTAAATCACTGATTTGTCTGTTTGTTTGATCGGTGAAAGTTATTCATAGTCAGTAAGCAGTTCTGACAGCCATGATAAAAGATGAAAATAAGAAAAAACATATAGCTTTAAATTGTAAAAATAAAACGAAAAGAAATTCAAAACACAATTACCGCAATTAACAAAAATATTAAAGCTCCTTTAGCTCTTCAGATAATGAATCATCATCAACTTTATCGTCAACTTCATCTTCAACATCAGATGTTAGTTGCACCAGATAACATACTAGGCTTAACAAGAATATTCACAATTCTCACAAATATACTTCAAGGCCTTCGACCGAGGTCAATCCGTACCAAAGTACACATTTACTGTAATCTTTGATGAATACACTCCGAAACGAGAACACTAAAGAAACCATTTTCTGCCCCACCTCTAATTCATGGGACGCACAGTGTCATCTCTAAATTTGATCCCACATCCAGAGCTCACACAATGAAAACTTTAGCTTTTAAAAGTTAATGAATCAGCTGAAATATTCGACGGGACTGAACGTCAAACCAGTTTTTATGCATGTAGCCCTGGCAAAGGATTAACACTTTCCCATGCGAAAAAAAATTGCAGATTTATTGCTAGAGATTCTACCCATAAGAAGAAGACGGAATGAAGCTGAATATTATTATAATAAAATTTGGTTAATCAATAGATGCGAACGATATATTTGATTATAACATACACATGAATGTACAAGGTGCCAACTCCAGCACGTCTGAAAACGTTTTAGATTATTTCCGTAACATAACTGAACTGTAGACATAGCGCCTTTAAAAAAATTCCGAGTGCATTTGCTTATAAGAAAAATATAGTCATAGGATCAAAAACAGAACTCGCAGGTATGAAAAAACACCTACAAAATACACAATTCTAAAGTCAAGCGTCGAAATATGGAACCAACGGTAATAGGACTGATGGATAACGTTTTCCTTTTTTTTTTGAAGGCGCATAATCTTGCTCCATATAAGAATGGAATGAAATTTGGATTAACATTACCAGAAGGCATAAAGTTACATAATTTTGTAATGTCATTAAGAAGTATTCCGCCGGCGTCACCGGCAAAAGCGCTAACAAGATCTTTAAGATGCTGAGGCGTAATTCCGTCAATGCCGGCAGCCATTCGAAAATAACATAATTGCTTCTAAAGAGTCTTTATCAGAAAATTTTAATGGTTGCATAGATGTCTTGGGAGGAAGCGGTAAACTTTGAGAAGGATTGACCGAAGGATGCTTCTGACGAATGTCTTCAAGAGTTTCGATATTACAAGGAGCCAGGATGTCGTCTGAGAATAAAATACGGGATGCATTTTTTAAGTCTCCATCCTTTACTTTCGACTCAACTACTTTTTAAATCAAATTTAGGACGAGCTCGAGATAAATTAGTATTAATTGGGTAATCTAAATTTTGAAAAGATGTCTCTTTTAGTTGCGACGTAATTGATTTATTTATTGTTTTATCAAATTGAAAATGGGAATACGCGAAAGTAAATAATTTTTGCCAAATCTTTTCAATATTAGTTAACCAATTTTGAATAGAAGGAAGGAATACTCTAGGAATTCTTTTCACCACTGTTTATTATGATGATAATTGTAAATTTGCTCCGAAAAAAAAGGGAAACATTTGTGTTATTACAGGAATTACTAATAGAGTTATGAATTTGTACGATAGGCTATGAAGCCGAAATAGTTTTACTAGGGCATAGTTTAATATGTATATTTAATCCCCTTATACCCTCAAACAGCCTACCGTCGGTACAATTTTCACACTGTAGGAAATCCCGCTGTAAATGTAGTGGAGCGGTGATATTCATTAAAAAATCTAAACATATCTCTCATTCGCACTCAAGTTTTTATATAACATAGCTTCATATTGACTTGAATTACGCTGTACCCCGCATCTTTCCCTGAAACACAATCATTTACAGCCTAAATAAAAGCATTTTGCTCTATAAATGAAATTTTATCGCATTACTTCATACTTTATACTATATTGATAAAAATTGTATGTATTCGTTACGCTTTGACAGCTGACAACGACGCAGCTGAAATATTTTCCTTTGTAAATGAGTATTATGTCTAAAATTCTTTATCTTTCTTTCTTCTTATAAAAACGTTACCCTCACACTAGGATTTTCTTTTGTATCGTGAAGGCAGTTTACAAACACAAATTGCACAAAGACAAACATCCAGACCCGGAACAATTATTTGTAGACCATACAAATTCCGTGCGGGATTCGAACCCGCGACCCGCAGCGCAGGAACTCATTGCTAACCCACTGCGCCACGGAGCCAAAATGAAAAAATAGTTATTATTATAAATTTATTGTTGAAATTTGTAAGCCAAAATTGGCCTCTAAATAACAAAATAAAATAAGTTAAATATACAGGCTGTCCAGTGGCAGATTTCAAACTTTGAACAGACTTAATTTTCGAACGCAACGTAGGAGAAGGGCGCGGAGGGGGTTATTCGACGTGCAAGCGATGCGGATTTTTTAGTAGCCATGGATCCGTGGAGTGGAGAGCACCGCGCTTTTGTCGTCGAGGTGTACTTTTCGAGTGGATTTTCGCTGTCTGAAGCCCGTCGTCGATTTAATAATCACTACGGTATTCGTCGAGTTCGTGATGGACCATCAATCAACCTGATTCAGTCTTGGGTAGCAAGGTTTAGAGCAACGGGATCAACAATAAATAGACCCAGACCAGGACCAACACCAACGGTAGCCACGGACGAAAATGTCGAACGTGTTATGGCTTCTGTAATTGAAAATCCTCGTTTATCACTTCGAGCACGTTCATCGATTTTGGGTATTAGTAAATCAACTTTACAGGTAATAATGCGAAAAAAACTTAAATTACATCCTTATAAGATCCAAATCGTCCAAGATTTACTCGAATCTGACTTTGAATTAAGGAAAACTTACGCAGAGACGATGTTGTTGAGATTTAAAACTGCTACTCGGATGGGTAACATATTCTTCAATGACGAAGCCCATTTCCATATCGGAGGATATGTAAATAAACAAAATTTTCGTTATTGGGATATTTCCAACCCGAGAAAATTGCATGAAGAGCCTTTACACAAACCAAAAGTCACAGTATGGTGTGCAATATCTGCGTCTGCCATAATAGGGCCTTATTTCTTCGAAAATGAACGTGGCCAAACTGTAACAGTAAATTCCGAGAGATATGCTGAGATGATCAGTGATTTTTTTAGACTAGAATTACAGAATAGTCCATACTGTAACCGGAATACGTGGTTCCAGAGAGATGGGGCCACAGCTCACACTGCTAATGTGGCCATGAGTGCAGTGCGAGAGTTGTTTCCCGAAAAAATCATATCCCGGAACGGCACCATACCGTGGCCTCCCAGGTCACCAGACCTAAGTCCGTGTGACTTTTTCTTATGGGGATACTTAAAATCTATCGTTTACAAAACAAATCCGACCACTGTGACACAGCTGAAAGAAAACATTCGAGCAGAAATCAGCAAGATTCCCCAGTCGCTTTGTAAAAGAGTTTTCGAAAACATGCGTTCCAGACTCGAGGAGTGTGTTAAGGTCGATAGCCGCCATTTAGAAAACGTTGTTTTCAAAAAATAAAATCCGCCTTTATGTTCTTTATATTTTAAAAAAACACTTTGCATAAAACGTGTCGTTCTTTTTTTTATAATTTTTCAAACTTTGAAATCTGCCACTGGACAACCTGTACGTAGTTTTTCACAGTTGAAAATTTTTTACAATTTTGACAATGTCAAATTATAATACTTCGGATCGTCTGAGCTTCATGAAAAATCTTGGGAAAAGATTAGTAAAGCCGGACCTCGAGTGAAGATACACGATGCCGCAACTTTCACATGAGCTATCGAGTACATATATTTATTCGTATTATTGGTCGTCTCTTGGGCAAAGATAAAGCTACCGAAGTGGGTCAACCAAGTAATGAAATTATAAAATTTGAAACCACGAGGAAGTAATGCTTACAGCAAAGGAGTAAAATAATTTGCCGGCATCTATCATTCCGTCCGAATACAATCAGAGCGTCTTCAAGGCAAAAGTGAATAGGCTTTTGTTACGCTAAGACAGTGCGATTTACCATGTAAGGCTGTATCAACAAGCACTGGCTTATAATAAGTAAAAAAAAAAAACAATATGCTCTTGCTATATTAAAGTCAACCATCAAAAAGAAAGAATCCGTCCGCCGAGTCCGAAGATGATGTTTATGACCTGTATAGTAAATAGTTATCCAAAAAAATTAAGACATTACCTAAAGATGACAGATTACCTTTCATGTATGAAATAGACGGCATATTTTTACGACACCAACAATATAGTCAAAATCGATACAACAGATTCCCTAATAGCCCCGCTCAGTCTACATCTATTGCGTATGGGAGAACTAGCACATCACGCTCAACATATTCGGAACACCAATTTCCGCCCCCATTAACTGCGTTATATGGAAGACCTAGCACATCTCATTCAATTTATTCCGAACATACAATGAATAATTCGCTATCTCCAGTCACTCACAATCCTGACTATAAATACATACACTGGTTCGAGAGTTATGGTAACATCGGATGAAGTTATATATTTTTTTTATAAAAAATATACAACTTCATATTTATATATACCCCGATTTTGATAAATTGTATAAATTGCGTCGTCTCTTATATCTGCCCAATGGCAAGTTAGAAAAAAAAGGGCCAAAACTATACATCACAAAGTATTGATGAAAAAGTATTGATTCAAAGTAGGTTAGGTAACTTGAAGCAATATATGCTTTTGTAACCTACATATGGTTAAATAAAGTGGATATAAAGTCTAGTGCCGATGTGATAACAAAACAGGGCATTTGTATAAATGTAGTATACAGGGTTATTTTTCAAAACCTACCCAAAGGAGATGAACTTAATTCCATACAAGCTTGGGCCCGGCGTGAACAAATTTAAAATATGTGTTAGTTTGAAGATTTAAATATTTGCTACTTATATCCAAAAATCATATTTTTGCCGGGCCTGGGTTTTTTTTTTATTTTGTTTTATGATTTGTCGGTTATGTAGTAAAATCCCCCGCTCTTGTGATAGGTTGTTTGAATAAATTGAAAAAACACAAAATAATGCAGTTTTGTAGTTATTATTATATAAAGTAAAATAAAACTCAACGTTTTTTAATTGTTTAACTATTTACTGCAACTATCAATAAAATGTCATCTAAAAAAACAGACGGAGGCTGTACATTGTCTGTTCTATTCCTCTCAAAACTTAAGTATCACATTATTTTCATTATATGGGCGCAACACACTACTGTCCTGTGATCCGAGAGAAAATCCAAGAGTCAAGTTAAATAAATCCACGAAAGTAAAAACACGAAATCTATCCAAAAAAACAGCTACAATGCCAAATGCGCATGCTGCATGACAAGCTGAAACTTGAAGTTACTAAGTTAAGTCTCCTTCGGAATATGCAATGATCAATAACCATACAGCCTATTCAGTCGTGTAGAATAATATTCAAATGTTTTTTGATTTAATGACATAGCCTATTCAATCGTTTTCTAAATATATTATTTTATTCTATTACAATTCTAACTACAGATTGGCGTCAATGTTTCAATATTATGATATTTTTAGGTAAGGAAGGTTATTTTATTATAAAAATAGCCTTCATTATCTATTGCCATAGACAGAACAGAAAGATATTTAAAAAAGTTTCGTTTTTGCTAAAGCAAAAGCATTAGCTCTCTATTTCAGTTTTAAAAAAATTTTTTATGATTGTCCCAAGGCCTACAGAAATAAAAACCATTTATTTACGCTTATAATTAATCGTTATATTACCTACATATTTTTGTATAACTGTTACGAACGATGTCAACAACCCAATTTCATACATCTCCTTACGTTCAAAATACAAATACTGATCTAAGTTGGACTACGCGACGCAAATTATGATTACAATTTTCTCTTCGTACTGTAAACGAGCTTAGGACCGTTATAATAAATAAAATTAAAAAATACATTTCAACGACGTAACCAATGATGACATATACTCGACAATACTTAATTTAGAAAAAGTGAAACAAGTGTCTAACAGTGTTCCTTGGTTTATCTAAAGATTTTGACACATTCTCTATCCGTCATCTGTTAAAAAAACTAGAAAAGGCCGATATAAGGGGTATTCCACTAAAATTGATGTAAGATTATTTGACCAATAGAAGGCAGTGGGTTCGTTTAGATCATTAAACATAGAGTGACGAGTTACCTGTCAATTTCGGTGTGCCTCAAGGCAGCATTCCCAGCCCACACTTTCTAAAGGAAAAATAATTACCTTTGCTGATGGTACTGCCCTTTTCTATGTCCATGAATCTTGGGATAATGTCTTCAAGAACGCTCAAGTAGGAATTAATGAAGTCTGTGATTTTTTTTTATAGGATAAGGGTGACTAACGAGCACACAGTCCACCTGATGGTAAGTGGTTGCAGCGGCCCATAGACATCTACATCTATCCTCTATTACAAATCAAAATGTAGATGCGTTGTCACCCGTGAGGACTAAGATGGAATGCCTCATTTCCAGTAAAAAGGGCCTCCGGCCACCTGCACTCACCAAGCGAAACGCAGAGGTAAACCTCTACTTCACGCTGGTTTTCTGTGAGGTCGTGGTACCACCCCGGTTCGAACCGGCCCATCCGTGTGACAGCAAAAAACTTAAAATACTGTAGCTAAGCAGCTTATTTTGCCTATTCTGAGCCGCCTCTGAAAATTTGGCCATATATTTCAAAATAACCCTGTAAATTCAGGAAAAACTGGTGTAGGAACAGACTGGTTTAGAAACTAAGATCGTAAAGTATTTGATAGAAAAGTTGATTGAGGAGTAGTTTGTAAAACATTTCACTTTGGATAATTTCTTTACTGATACTGCTTAGTTGCAGTACCTTCATAAAAATGGCCTCTTTGTCACGGAAACAGTCCAAAGTAATCAATCTCTTTTACCAAAAAAAAAATCCTAAAATTGGGCAAAGCTTAAAATGGAGAACAAAGATGTTAAAGTCACAGTATGGTAAATCACAAAAAAACGCTGCTGCTGTCCACTGCTTTTCATCCCAAAATGGAGCAACTGTTGTTTCACAGACACAGAAGGATGGGTCTAATCAACTGAGTAATGTTAAAGAATTGTGAAACAGCTGTCGGACCAAGGAGCAAGGGTTGCTGGCTCCGATTTTTTTTAGCTTTTCACGGACGCTTCGAGCACAATGCTAATATCTTATTTTCATCCACTCCAAGAAACCAAAATGCCCACCAATCTGTAGTTCCGTGGGACTTTGGCCAGAGACCTAATAGCAGGATACACCAGTAGGAAACGGGCATCGTAAATGGGATTCTATATTTCCAAGAAAACACAAACATGTCTTCATACACTGTAGAGCAACTTGACGAATACCTAGGAGCCGCGATGGACAAGCTCAAAGGAGCCCAGTCTCCAGAGGTTATCCATCAGGGCGTAACCATCCCAGTTCAGGAAGCTGGAGGAGTCACCACAAGAGGTAAAACAAGGAGGGCCTCAGAAGAAGGATCATCTGCACCCAAACGAGCAAAGAACAAATCTAAATCAGTCAAGGCGATAAGTGAGGAGGAGACCGAACAAGAAGAAATTCCTGAGAGTCCACCTCCTCCCAACCCCCAACCATCAACATCGCAAAGCGGAGATGGAGGACAAGTAAACATGGCCATGATCTACTCCTTACTACTTAAGATAAAGGAGGCGCAAGTCAAACATCTGAATCTTACATACTCGTACAATATGATTGAAAGAATGGACAAGGAGAGACAGATATCACACAACATGAACTTGCGAATTGAAAGCCTCCAGAAGGCAAGAATGCTAGGGCTCACAGCGCAAGCCGCACCGACGGCCAGCTCCGCACCCTCCAGCGGTCCCACACCCCACACCTCAGGAACAGAAAGAGGACCTATATTTTTCTGACATGACCTTAGGT